TGTTTTAGTTTTTTTAAAGAAAAAAAAGCAGCGATTTTTAATTTTAAAAAAAAATATTATTTTTTACAAAATCGCTGCTGTGGCAGCGATTTTTAATAAAAAAAAATAAAAATTTTTTTTAGACGAAATCGCTGCTAGGGCAGCGATTTTGTCATTTTGTCAGAGGAAAATCGCTGCTGACGCAGCGATTTTGCCCTTTTGGCTAAAATAAAAAGTGATGTGCCCTTTTGGAATTTTTGACCATTTTTTTTGCCCTTTAGGCTCTGGACTCCATTATAATGTATTGGGTAATATCCTGTAAACGACAAGGCTAGCTCACGATGGATTTGGGATAGTCGGAAGGAATTGAATTCATAACCGAACATGATACTTACTTGGTGGCTTAATTAAGAAATAAAATTTCATCTATACTATTAGTTATATTTTTTTGGTATGATATTGATAAGCGCTTGATCGTAACATAATGATTAATTCTTTGAACTACTTTATAATATCCCTCTATTGTCAATTTGTTCATCTTACTTTCCTTATTTTTTTAAACATGTTTTAAAAAAGAGTATGTACATCTTTACTAATTTGATATTTTTATTTTTAACTTGTCATATGATATTATTATAATATCTCTAATTTAAGACAATAATAATCTAAAGTCTTTTATACTTTTTAAAACTTTGTGCAAGTAAAATTAAGACAACTTAGAAGCGAAGGCAGTATATTGTGGTGACTATTAATTAGTTAATATATCGACTCCGTACAGCTGAATTGTCTATATTCCTTTAATAAATAAAAAAGAAACAACTATAGATACTTTGTTCGAGAATATATATATATTAATTACCATCATCTTATGAAGCAATTTTAAACTTTCACATATAACAAACATAAAAATCATATTTATATGTTATAACTATAGTTTGAATAATTGCGCTCCATAGCAAATTTTATGTTTGCTATGGAGCTTTTGATTTGTATAATTTTGCTACAAAACATCCAATTTTTATACAAATTGTTCAGTTTTGTATAAATTCATTTATACATTGTAATTTGTATAATGAGATCTGTATTTATATAATTATAAGTGTATAGGACGAAAATATATGTATTTATATTTGTATATACACTTTTCTCTCGCTTTATACAAACACAAACGCATTTTATACATTTTATACCGAAAATGTATAAAATGACTAATTGTATACCGAAAATGGCTAATTGTATATGGAATCAGATGGCAAAAAAAGGGAATGTTTGCTGCGAATTACAATTAAAATAAACTATGTCTATAACATTTAATTTGAATTTAGTAATTTGCTATTTCATACAATTTTCCCTTTTAAAAATGCATGTAAGTCAAATAATGCTAATTGACTGGTAATTTCTGGTACTTATTAATTATTGACATATTCTTTCGAGGAATGATTTGATGTATCTAGATATATGGTAGTTATAATTAAAAAATATTATTGGTATTATATAAACTGATCGATCTTGAGCAAAGCCTAAGAAATCTTGTCTGTTTCTTTTACTTTATTAATAATACATTGGTTTCTTAATCAACAAAGATTAATTAGAATCCATGTTTTTTAATCCTTTATTTTATGCAACCTATGAAATATAAATTCGAAGTGAGGGGGAGGAATATGTACGGTAAATTCATAGAGCTTTGCCCTCCTCTCCTCCCAATGTCTTATTTTGTCCTCTCCAATACAATCTCACCCTCCTTTTGTTTTACTTCACCATACTCCACACCTTCAAAAACATATTATAACTATCTAGTATGTGAGTTTTTCACGTGAACTATCACCAAATATTTATCGAAATACATTTTAACTATCAGTTGTTTAATCACAATTGTTCAAATAGGAAAAAAAAATAACTGATAATTGAGATGTGTTTTGATAAATATTTGATCGGTAAAAAACTCAGACACATGATAGTTCACGTATAAAACTTAAAAAATCGAGATACTTTAATTTTAAATGTGTTTTTGAACTTAACTTTAAGTTGACATTTTTTTTCTCTTTAAATAGCTTCACATCTCTTCAATATTCCAAACCCCAGAACTTCTTACTTAGTAACATCTCTTTCTCTCAAAGGAAAAAAAGAGAAGTAAGTATTTAGTCTCTCAGCTTTCTTTAAATATCAAAAAATAAAATAAAAAATGGCCATCACTAGAAAATCAAATTACAAGTTGCCACAAGTGGCAGTATTAAAGCAAATTATGAAAAGGTGTTGGAGTTTAGGTAAGAAGCTGAACGGGTACAAGTACAACGACAAGGACTATACTCCGATTGACGTACCAAAAGAACATTTTGTAGTTTACGTAGGAGAGGATAAAACTCGATACATCGTACCTATTTTTTTTTTAAGTCACCCCGAATTTCAATGCCTCCTTCGTTGCGCTGAGGAAGAATTTGGCTTTGATCACGACAAGGGCATCACCATTCCCTGTGAAGAATTCATTTTCCAATCACTCACTTCCATGATCCACTAGTGAAAGAGTTTGAAAGAAAAAAACATAATGCGCCATTGTCCACAAAAAAGACAATGCAGGACATTATATTTTTAAAAAAAACTTCATTTTACTAACATAATACCATTGTGAACTTCTTTTGTTATGAAACTTTAATTTAATGTAATGATTTAATGATAATCCGTATGGATTTTATAATCCAAGTAAAACAAATATAGAGTTACTAATGAAATGTGCAAAGATACAATTAATCCCATCAAAATAATTTACAAGAGAAGACGTCTCAAATTCTTTTACACACATATTTCTTGTTCTTACACTTTAAACATTTTTTTTAATCAAAACAAGGACATGGCATCCAGAGTATCATATCTGAGTTCATATATAAGAAATCATTGACTTTTACTCAAACTTTATATGTATGTATTAAAGTATTCATAAAATATCTTAAAATATTTGATTGTGAATTCAGTTATTATTGTATATTAACTTGAGATTGTTGTAGGAATCTGCCTTTGTATGCGGTTAGTTGCACTAGTGTGCTCTTATTATCACCGATTGTATCGTATATTATTGTGATTATAAATAATATGGATTCCACACAGCTGAATTCTCCTTATTCCAAATGTAAACTACGTAACAAGGTGTACTTTCTTCGAAAATTACCCTCATTTTAAAAAGAAATTTAGAAAACAAATATAAGTCAAATAATGCTAATTTCTTGTACTTAATTAATTATCATGCATCATATTCTGTAGAACACAACCCATTGTTCGTTAAAAACATTGTTAGTATCATCCAAGTATCAAGGTGTTTGTTCGTTGTCTCATTTGAAAGCAAACCCTCTATATATAATCTTTGTTTCTTTTAATTAAGAATACGTTGGTTTCTTCTAATTAATTAAAACAAAGATAAATAAAAATGCAGTTTAATTGATAAAGAACCTAAGTTGGAGAGTAGTTTTCTAAAATTAGTTGACTTAACTATGGTTATTATATATGTTAATATAATATAATTTTGACCTTTAAACTTTAAATAAGACACATGTCTCTCATCTAGACGTGCACTTGACGAAATAAAGGAAAGGGGGTAATGGAGGGAAGCCGGATCTGTTGGGGGATCATAAGTTGGGGGATATTTTATTGAACAGTACGAAATCTACGCAATAAATGTGTTTATCGATCTAGTCGTAGTCGCACAAGTAGGTCAACATCCAGAAATGAAGAAAAAAAATGGGTATAAATAGTTGTTGAAAATTCCTTAATCCCAAGTACAATCAAACAAGTAGAGTATATACTCATTATTTCAAAGAAACAAAGGGCCCGTATGCATGTTAGTCAATCTATGCGCACTGCGTGACTCATTCGAGGGTGGCATTCCCAATAAGATTTTATTTATACCTAAGACTCGAACTTGAAATTTGTGGTTAAGGATGAAACTGTCTCATCACTGCACTACAATTCACGTAGATAGTGGTATATTATTATTATCGATCGTACAAGTATCAAGGTGTTGCCTGCCTAACTTTTGTGTTGTCTTGGGCAAGTATCACAAGGTTTATTTTTTTAATTTATGCTACCTATGAAAGTGAAATTCACCAAGGAATATGTACGGGTAATTAAGTCCTGGAGCTCATAATTAAATCATGTAATTAAGTCAAATTAAATAATTCTAGTTGACTGGCAATTGGCACCATGATATTCTTTAGAACAACCATTTTTTGGTGAAAACAATAATGTTAGTGTTATCCAAATAGTTTTTTCTTTTTTTAAAAAACTTTGATTTGATTTCTTTTAAAACAAAGATAAATAAGAATCGTACAATTTGGTCAACATCTTGAAATACGATGTAGTGAATGAATCTTTCAACTTCACCTAGAAATTACCCAAACTCCACAAAGCTTGCCTAGGACAACTCTTAACCAAAAATAGGTGTGTTTCGACATAAGTGATTTATCTCATAGTAGATTCTAATTTTATTGTGGTACGACAAAATACAATTATTTTCTTGCACCCTCTGAGACCTCGAACAATATATTTGAAATTCTTTTAGTGCATACTTTATTTGGGAAAGTCCAACTATTAAAACTGGTAACATTCTTTTTGAATCGTAATCTACTAATAATGCATATATTAGCGTAGATTATTTCTAGCCATATCAATTCTTTGGGATAAAAGATGCGATTTAGGGTTCTACTATTATAATAGCTACGAGAGAAAAATATCCTTGTTATAATTGTAGAACCCCGACATCATGTAGTAGAAATATCGACATTAAAATATACTGAAAACATGGTTAAGCAAATAAAATGTATCTCCTTATTTATTTAAATTTCTAGATGGGTTGATCACATAATTTAACATATTATGATAGATATTGTATAGGGGTTTCGATTTCAAGTGTTTAAAGTCACCTATTTTTATTTTACGTGCTTGACTCATAAAAAATAAATAAAGACAATGACTCCAGGACTTTTATCAAAATAAAAAACGCAAACATGTACTTCTTGACTCCTCATTTGTAATATCATCACGGATCGGAGTATATTACAAACTCTGTGGTGATCAGCAAATATTTAATTTTCTCTAGCTCTTATTTTCTTCATGTTTGTTAGGTAGCAAGAGTTAGGTACTTTATTAGGATTAGTAAGGTAAGACCTAGACCCCCTTGCTTGTACTTGTCCCTGTTGATATTTTTTATTTTTAATAAAAGGCCGCTAGACACTGTTTAGTGGTAAATTTGCTTTAAAACAAAAACAAAAAAACTTCTTGGCTTCTTGTCATCGGTTTTTATCGTATATAAGGAGTTCTTAACTGTTATTATTAGTAAATAATAATTTATTACGTACAAATTTATGTCATTCCGTATGCCTGATTAATTAATTATCCCAAGTGCAAAACTAGGGGTACTTTTATCTTTTAGCACATCGCACATTTTTTTTTAATGATAATTGACTGGTATTTTCTTGTACTTGACATCGTATTTCTTCGAGGAATGAATAGATTCTGTAAATGATCGTTGATTTATTGGCGTTTTCTTCTGCTTTGTAAATATCTAATTTCCTGCCTACTTTCTACCTCATCACGTTTTGATTTATTTATATTACTTTCGTTTTTTAATCCTTTTCAAAATGAATGTTTCTCCTTTTTTGGGGGTTTAACTTTTCACATGACATAAAATTAAAAGATTTAAAACTATTTTGATAGGTTCAAAAGTATATTTTACTTTTTTAAAACTCCGGACAGTCAAAATCAAACAATCAAATTGAAATAGAGGAAGTATCATATATGCAATAACAATCCATTGGTTAAATAGTTGGCTCCCTAAGTACATAATCTTGTACAAATACATTGGTTTCTTCATATATAAACAAAGATAAATAAGTTTGGATCTTCCTCCATAAATAGCTTCACATCTCTCTATGCCAAACACTACCTTACTAGTACTTTAATACTAGCATAAAGCTCTCAAATTTCTTCAAGAAAACATACAAAAATGGCAATCAGAATATCAAACAAACTATCACAAACTGCAGTTTTGAAGCAAATTATGAAAAGGTGTTCGAGTTTGGGTAAGAAACAGGGCTATGATGATGTAGATCACCTTCCCATCGACGTACCAAAAAGACATTTTGCAGTTTACGTTGGAGAGAACAGAACTCGATATATCGTACCAATTTCTTTCTTGACTCACCCTCTGTTTCAGTGCCTCCTACAATGCGCTGAGGAAGAATTTGGCTTCCATCATGACATGGGAATTACCATTCCATGTGAAGAAGTTGTTTTCCTAGCACTAACTTCGATGCTCCGGCACTAACAAAATAGTGAATATTAAGTTAGGTGTAAGATTTTTTATTTTTTTTGAGTGAATCAAATTTGTAAATGGAATAATCTTGGAATTTTTTTCTTGCAGTACTGGTGAATGTCTCGAATTATTTCCTATTTATACAAAAATCTCTCAAAGTTTATGGTATCATAATCAACACGTAGTACAGTAAGATATTTGATAGAATTATTAAGGTGGAATGACCCAGGAGACTCATGCACTTGGCTCCGTTTGTCAGTTGAACCTTTTTACTCATCATTTTGTCAACCAAACCCTTAAACTCATCAGAACACAATATTTTAAATCCCTCTGACTATTGACCGAGTTTATGTGACATTAATATTAGTGAGTTTGAAATATGTGTGATTACACGCGCTTGAAAGTGAGTTAAAACAATATTTTACTTTAAACAAAATTAAAAAATAAGATTCATCTTCTTCAACCCTCCTTCACCCACGACTTTCTTCTTCTCCACCAGCCTCCCTCCTCTACCCCTCACCACAACCCTCAACTTTCTTCTTTTTCCAGTTCGTTCTTCTTTCTCCAGCCCCACATTCACTCTTCTCCGTCTTTTTTTATTTTATTTTATACAAATCGATAGCCTCAACTTCTTCTAAATTTTTCATTTTTTAGGTTTGAAAACTATTAGTATCATTATTTTATTACTCCCTCCGTTTCAAAAAGATTGGTCTGGTTTGACTTGGCACGAAGTTTAAGAAATTAAAGAAGACTTTTGAATCTTGTGGTCATAAATTAAAGTTATGTCAAATGTACAAAATTGCCCTTAATCTTGTGGTTTTAAACATGCCACGTGGAAAACAAAAAGTAAAATGTTACCAAAAAAAGAAAGAGATCATTTTTTTTAAACCGACTAAAAAGGAAAGGAGGTCATTCTTTGTGAAACGGAGGGAGTAGATGGTTTCAACGAGGAGATGTGGATAATGTGAAGGATGATTGTGACTATTGAAAATTTTAAAACTCCATTGATAAGCTTGGAAAAGCTTAAAAATAATAAGTGGGTCTTATAAATTTGTAAAATTAATTAAAAATTTCGATTGGGCTTCATAGAGTTTGTGTTGGTGAACTTGTAGTTGAATTTACAAGTTAAATCGAGAAGAATTTGATCTAATGGGTATGAATTTAGTACTCAATTTGTGACCAAATAGGAAGAAGATGACTATTTGAAAAGTTTAAGAAATTAAAAAATTGGTCTATTTTTATTTTTATTTTTTTACACTTAATTTCGTACGTGGCACTAAAAAATGATGTGGAATTCCACGTGTAATCGCGTCCATTTCACGCAAACTGACCGGAGGAGAAAAGGGCTTAAAATGTTGTGTTCTGATGGGTTTAAGGGTCTAGTTGGCAAAATAATGAGTATGAGAGTTCAACTGACAAACGGAGCCAAGTACAGGGGTCTCTCAGATCATTCCGCCAATTATTAAATATCCAAATTTTAACCAACAAATCAGGCAATATTTCGAGTTATATCTTGGCCAAAGTAGATAAGTTGAAATTTGAATGGTTCAGAACTACAAAATAAATTTATCTTCAAGCATTTAGTTGAGAGAAACAAATTTTGGTATCTGTATTCATTGAAGTATTTTCTTTAATTTGTGAGTAAAAAAGCACCAAACTTTGTGGTGCTAAGACTCACTTCTAACTAATCAACTGTACAAGATGGATTTCCTTAACAAAATTGTGAGACCTATAAAAAGGGAAAAAAATTCTCAACTATATTTTTAAATCCTAAAGTGAGAAGTGATGTGAATGAAGATGTCCTCTGAGCAGGGAATTGTTACACCACCCATTGGATGATCGAAGCCAAATTCTTCCTCTGCTTGACTTAGCAAGTCTTGAAATGAAGGCTGACTCAAGTATGATATCGGTATCACAAATCTCTTCCTCTGCTTCTCCCCAACATATACAACAAAATGACCCTTGGGAACATCCAAGGATGTTGATGACTTCTTGATTATACGAGGAACGCGAATAGCCATGATCTTTTAATTAAGATGAGCAAAGTATGAAGATAAAAAGATTACTTAAGATCCTGAAAGCACAAGAAAGTTGAGTAGTTTTCTTGTTTTGTAGAGAGTTGTGGTGGTAGAAACTTAACCAAACATGTTTATATAAGGAAATGGCAAGTCATAAAATCTCATGATTTGTGGTGAAGAGAATGACATCTCAATAACCACATGGCTCTGTCTTCCAACTAATTGACATGATTAATTACTTTAGCTCATACAAGTTCAACATGCAACGGTTGGTTGGTCCTACCTCTTTCTCATAATGAAATCAGTGGATTATGATGATTTGTGTACTCCATTAATATAATGTAAGAAGTATCACATGGTTTTGTTGTCCAACTCGTTATCAAGACTTTAGGCCCATTGTTTTTATAACATGATTGAAAACACAGCATCAAATTGATAACAACAGGCAATCGTCCTGTAATTATTCAGGTCCGAACCACTTGGTCTGCAATTTAGAAATAAATTTACTTGTAAAATATGACAACTTGTCTGGTCCCTCATGCTAAACTCATTATGTAAGATCAACTTTCCATATTCAAATTATCGGAGTTATTTCAGCAAATGTAGAGAACATAGACGATGTTTACTCACTATCAACCTGTCCCAATGCCTTTATAGTTTCCAAATTTCCATATGAAGAGTATAAATGGTAAATTCCTTCTCACTTCCTCAAGTGATCAATGAACATATTCTCACTGCAAGGAATTGTGAGACCACCCATTCGATGATCGAATTCAAATTCTTCTTCATCTAGTCTTGAAATAAAGGTTGACTCAAGAATGATACGGGGATCATGTTGGGTTTTATTTGTCCTGAATTTCTTACTATAAATAGGTTTTCCTTTTAGGAAAATGTTTTGGATTGGCTAGTCCTTTTATGGTAGGAAAAAGTTTTGGACTCTATAAATAGAGACTTGTTCCTTCTAACTTAATCAACATTCACAATGTAGTCTTAAGGGCTTTAAGAGTTTTGGTTAGGAGGAGAATTTGTGGGACACAAGCTTGATACGTTATCACTTGTGTGAACCTCCCATGTATTTCGAGTGAATTGGTAGAGGTTATTTCTCTCTATATTTTGTACTCTCATATTTATAGTGGATTGCTCATCTCCTTTCTGGACATAGGTCGATTGACCGAACCACGTTAAATCTTTGTGTCTTTTGGTATATTTCTCGCTTGTCTTCTTACTCGTGGTCTTTCAAGGTTTGCTTTGCTAGCTTCTGCATTACACCTAATTATTTCGGTCCTAACATATCACAAATCTCTTCTTGTGCTTCTCCCTGACATACACAACAAAATATCCTATGGGAACATCTCTAGATGTGGAAGATTTCTTGATTATAAGAGACATACGAATAGCCATGATCTTCTAGTTTAAGTATAGATGAGAAGAACTACTAAAGACCTCAAAAGCAGAATTTTTTTCTTTGAATGCTTTCAAGTTTTGCTGAGAGCTGTGGTGGTAGACACTCTTGAAATGTGTTTATATAGGCCAAATAACAACTCAAAATTTGGCCATTTAAATTGTTTGCGCACCCACATCATGCCATTTATCCATGATTAAAATGTTTCGTAAAATGTATTAAACAAATGTCGAATTCATATGTTAGAAAAAAGCTCAATTATTTGAAGTTAATGGAGACGTTTCTCACTAAAAATAGACTTATTTCAACTGTCTTTAATTTGTAGCTGAAATAATACCATTGCGTCACTAAAAGTTATGTTGATTCGAATATAAGTTTACCTTTTGTACCTAATTATCTGAGGAAATTTTAAAAACAACTTAACTGTTCTTTGGATGCACTATATTTATTCGCTCTAATTATAATCTTTGTCCATCACAAATATAAAAAATATAGTTAAACAGGAATATAAACAACCAAAAAAAAACAGGGGCACAAAACCACAAAAAATTACCGTCAAACAATGATATAGTAACAAAAATGTATCCCATACCTGAAAAAATAATTGCCCCATCAGGTTTCTCAATCTAACCATTAGAATTATAAATAATTGAATATAATATTTATTTTTTTACAATATCAGATATTCAAAGGATAAAATAATTCTGAGAAAGGTAGTTCTACCACAATAATTTTGATCCGGTGCCTCAATAAAATATATAATTAAATTATAATTTATAAAATCAAATTATTTTTGTAAGTGTAAAATAAGGAAACCTGAGTTTGTATGGGAATGGGATTTACAATTTTTGGAAACTTTTTTCCTTTTTTTTCTTTCAGATTCCGAGTTGGCTTAGGAAAGTATGGGAATGGGATTACAGTTTTAGGAAACTTTTTTTCCTTTCAGATTCCGACTTGGTTTCGGAAGTTAAAAAAAATGTCTATATAAACTCAATTCCTAACTCTGTTTCTGTGCAACCAAATTCTTAACTTTGTTTCTCTTCTTTGATTTCTTTTTAGTAGCAAAAGCAAAAATATTTCAGTTATGGCAGTGTATATCAAGTATAAAAGTTGTAAGGATTATGATTCAATACCAATTCTTGATCATTTTATTTCTGTTGGGAATTTGAAATCAAAAATATTTGAATCCAAGCGTTATGGTTGGGGTAAAGATTTCGACCTTCTTCTCACCAACGTACAAACTAACGAAGATTATGTTGATCATGCCACCTTGATTCCTGCAAGTACAAGTGTTTTGATTCGTCGGCTTCCTGGATTACCTTGCTGCCCCATACTAATTAAAGAGGATCCCAAGCAAGTGGTGTGTAAACAGGAGGAGGTTCATTCAGTTAAAAAAGAGTCCAAATATTCTCAAGACGATGATTTTGGCGATGATGTGTATGCAATTCCAAAAGTAGTAATGCCAAGTCAATTAGGCAATCCAGTGCCCACTAGTACTAGTAGTATAATCAAGAATTCAATTGTCAACATATCACTTGAGTATAATAATAACACAAGATCAGCTGGCTTTAGTGTTGGACAAGGTGGAATGGAACGGAAAAAACCACCACCGGGGTATGTGTGTCATCGATGCAAGGTGCCTGGGCATTTCATTCAGCATTGCCCTACAAATGGTGACCCCAATTATGACATCAAGAAAGTAAATGCAAGTGTTGCTGTTTTGATGGCAGCTTTTACTAAGGAGGTTGAAGGATCTTCTTCTTCATCGTCTTCTAAGCGTTCCTATAGAGATATACCAGCAGAGCTTCACTGCCTATTGTGTAAAGGATTAATGAAAGATGCAGTTATAGCGAGCAAATGTTGTTTTAGTAGTTTCTGCGACAGATGCATAAGGAATCATATTATGTCCAACTCTGTTTGCGTATGTGGGGCTAGAATATACTTGTTGATGCTCTCTTGCCTAATTTGACTCTAAGAGCCACAGTAAACAGAATCTTACAGTCTTGTAGGACACGGGTAGAAGAGTTTCCACGAGCTGTTGAAGAAGTAAATATGAAGAAACCAAGTGAATGATGTTAACATGCAATGGGGTGTTGAAACTAGAAAATTAGGTTTTAAAAGGAATAAGTGTGAGATGAGCAGTGAGTTTTCAAGTGTAATTACTTATTGAGGGGTCAAAATATATACCACATTTTGTAATATTATCGAATTCAATACATTGTTTATTTTTCTCTAATATTTTTCCTTTCAAGTTAGATTAGTAATTTTATCTGTTTGATCACACATAATTTGATATCTCCTCTATATTAGTTACCTTAGAACGCGGCATATCAAGCAAACTACATTAATTCGAAAACGAAAGTCTTATTTCAAAGAATACTTTGCAAATGAAGTAAAACAACGGGTTAGAGATTAGACATTGATGGGAAAATAACCTATATGACAGAATTGAATACAGAAAACTAGCTTAGACTAGTGCCAGTTTTAGCCGTGACGTTCTCCAACGCCTCAGGAGTCTGTTGAAATCTATCCTAATGTAGATACAAAGTCCTATCCAAACTAAACAGGCCTTCATCAAAGTTTTCATTTTGAATCCGAAAAATCAATTCTATCCTAACGTAGACTTAAGCACTTGAGAAGCTCCAATTCCCATGTTATAAAGAAATGAAATCATGCAAACAAGAATTCTGAAAAATCAATTGACGAAAGAATGAATCTGAATAGATTTCATTATGTCTTTTTAACATCAGCTACTGAAAATTACATTCAAAAATGGGATCCACGACAAATAGCCCCCTCTATCTAATTTTCAGTAATGTGTATTGAATAGTGAGTCTCTCCTAACTAGAAAGGTTACTTCTTTACAAAATTGTGAAAGGAAAAGCCTCAGAACCTACTCAAGCGAGAAGTAAGATTAATGAACACATCCTCACTACAGGGAATTGTCACACCGCCCATTGGATGATTAAAGCCAAATTCTTCCTCAGCTTGACAAAGCAAGTCTTGAAATAAAGGTTGGCTCAAGAATGAAATGGGGATAACAAATCTCTTTTTCTGCTTCTCCCCAACATAAACAGCAAAATGGCCTTTCGGAACGTCTCCAGCTGTAGAAGTCTTCTTGATTATACGAGGCATACGGATAGCCATGGTCTTTTAGTTCAATATAGATGATAAAATAAGGAAGGAAAGAACTAGTAAGGACTCTGAAAGCAGAGAAAGCTTTTTGTATGTTTGGTGAGTGTTGTTATGGTAAACCCTTCTTTGTATGTGTTTATATATCAAGTTGTAGAATTCTACTGATGTGCATTGAATAGACATTATGTGAGCACCAGCTAAAGACAGTAGCACCTGAAGTATAACATGGTTTTGCCTTCCAACTCATTGTCATACTATTTATGCAAACTCTCATGTGTCCACTTATATAAAACTATAAGAGAAAACAAATCAATCATATAGAAGATTCAACTGGTAGAGAGGCATTTGTTGTACTGTTGATTGACAATATCACATGGTTTTGCTACTCAACTCATTGTCAAGTATATATGATCTTAGTCATTGCTCTTCAATATCAGCAGTCCCTACACCCCCAGTGTTTTTCAGGACAAGATAGAGAACAGAAGATTTTTAGTGATCAATTTGTTAACATTGAGTCATTGTCAACAGCAGGATCTTTTGAGATCGATCAGAATGATGCTAACAGGTAAAATTTACAACAATCTGACCATTTGCTTGGTCCCTCAAGCTAAGTCATTATGTAGGATCAACTTTCCTGATTAAAATAAACCAAGCCATTTCAATAGATTTTGCGAAATGTTTCCAAATAGTAGAGAATAAAATATACTTTTTACTGGCTATCCATGTTATGCAAATCTCCATTAAATTATGAGTCAGTCAAAACTTTATTATTGCTAGAAATTTTGAGTTCATATTCAAAAGTCTAGATACTATTTCTTATAAAGAGTTCATAAAGTGTAATTATCATTTTAACCAATTGAATGAGTTAATGCCACTTTAGAGGACTAGATTGTAGTTCATTCGAGTTGAGCAAAAAAATTCTATTGCAATGAATTGATTACATCAATGTATGGAAGTAAAAAGTTTCATTACTTCAATTTCTTTTGAAGTAGATGTGTCCTTAGTCTACCTAGTGTTTCTTCTAACTCTCAACTGTACACAGTGGAGTTCCTGGCTTACTACAACTATACAAAATTGTGTAACAAAAAATATGGGGACAAGTTTCCTTCTCACTTCCTCAATCGAGATGTGAGATCGGTGAACAAATCCTCACTGCAGGGAATAGTCACACCACCCATTGGATGGTCGAAGCCAAATTCTTCCTCAGCTTGACTAAGCAAGTCTTGAAACAAAGGTTCACTCAAGAATGATATGGGGATCACAAATCTCTTTTTCTGCATCTCTCCAACATACACAGCAAAATGACCCTTAGGAATATCTCTAGTTGTGGAAGACTTCTTGATCATACGGAGAATAGCCATGATCTCTTAGTTTTAGTATAGATGAGAAAAAAAGGACTGTAAGGGAACTCAAAAGCAGAGAAAGCTTTGATGTTTGCTGAGTGTTGTGGTGGTAGATACCTCTTTGGATATGTTTATATAGGAAATGGCAACTCATATTGATGTGTATTGAATAGGAATTTGTGGGCACCATCAGAAGACAATGGCACTGAGGTATCACATGCTCTTGCCTTCCAAGTATTGAAAACTTTGTGGTGTTGGTTAAAGAACAATAGGCCCTACCTTATTTTGAAACTTGGAAGAGCCATTTGGATTGGACATCAGTTAAAGACAATGATATATTAGTAATCACATGGTCCTGCCTTCCAGCTAGTTGACATGATTAATTGCTTTAGCATATATAAGTTCAAGTTCAATAGGTCCTACACATTTATTTCCTATAGGGAACAAAGGATCTCTAAGAATCAAATCCATAAATATTGCTGGTAGCTTATGAGGATATCTAGGAATTAACCATACCCCAGATGCAAACTTTGTGTCCACTGACAATATTATTACAAGATCAGAACATAAGTAAGATGGAATTTATAACAGACTATGTGGCATAGGAATCTTAGAAAGAGACGTTGTAATCTCTAATGCTTTCATGATTAATAAGAATGCAGCCTAAGATAATCTTCAAAAGTGGGTGAAAGAAATGAAGCTAATTAACTGAAACATGCACTAGGAAAATTCAGCTCTTATTCAGGTCAGGGACAAGTGGCAGGAATGGTTTACCTTCTTTTAACTCCCCATCGCGTGTACATGTGCACTCCCCTTGAGCTTGCAATTTGCTATTCCAGATGTTAACAAGTTCCCTTTTCACACTTGGCCTGAAGAGAGAAACATCAGGTCGTGTTTGTTACTGACATATTTAATTGAGATAATATCTGAAAGAGACCTAATAACCCTCCCAAGAAATTGGATAACACTACCTTTCATCACAGAAGTAACCGTCACCACAACTTGGAGTGAAAGATTGATCACATTGATGGGATGACTGCTGTGGAATCTCCCAGCTGATATCTTCTACAGAATGATGCAGTCTACTAACTGCTATAGTTTCCGCACGAAGGAAAAGAACATTAATTAGTTGCACAAGTTTTCTGTCATCATACTTCTTAACAGTTTACACTTCTATAATGAAACAATAGTGAGTTTCTCAAGGTTCAAATCCCAGAGTTAGGTACTACAATCTGAACATTGCTTGGTCCCTCAAGCTGTCATTATGTAGGATCAACTTTCCTGATTAAAATAAACCAAGCCATTTCAATAGATTTTGCGAAATATTTCCAAATAGAGAATACAATATTTTTTTACTGGCATAATATGTGTCTGTCGATGCAAATCTCCATTAAATTATGAGTCAGTCAAAACCTTATTATGGCTAGAAATTTGAGTTCATATTCAAAAGAATAGATACTATTTCTTATGAAGAGTTGATAAAGTGTAATTATCATTTGTACCAATTGAATGAGGCATGCCACTTAAGAGGACTAGATTGTAGCTCATTCTGATTAACAAACCATGAGAGTTGAGCAAAAAAATTCTATTGCAATGAATTGATTACATCAATGTATGGAAGTAAAAAGTTTCATTACTTCAATTTCTTTTGAAGTAGATGTGTCCTTAGTCTACCTAGTGTTTCTTCTAACTCTCAACTGTACACAGTGGAGTTCCTGGCTTACTACAACTATACAAAATTGTGTAACAAAAAATATGGGGACAAGTTTCCTTCTCACTTCCTCAATCGAGATGTGAGATCGGTGAACAAATCCTCACTGCAGGGAATAGTCACACCACCCATTGGATGGTCGAAGCCAAATTCTTCCTCAGCTTGACTAAGCAAGTCTTGAAACAAAGGTTCACTCAAGAATGATATGGGGATCACAAATCTCTTTTTCTGCATCTCTCCAACATACACAGCAAAATGACCCTTAGGAATATCTCTAGTTGTGGAAGACTTCTTGATCATACGGAGAATAGCCATGATCTCTTAGTTTTAGTATAGATGAGAAAAAAAGGACTGTAAGGGAACTCAAAAGCAGAGAAAGCTTTGATGTTTGCTGAGTGTTGTGGTGGTAGATACCTCTTTGGATATGTTTATATAGGAAATGGCAACTCATGCTGATGTTGTATTGAATAGGAATTTGTGGGCACCATCAGAAGACAATGGCACTGAGGTATCACATGCTCTTGCCTTCCAAGTATTGAAAACTTTGTGGTATTAGTTGAAGAACAATAGGCCCTACCTTTTTTGAAACTTGGAAAGAAGCATGATTCATTACAGAATTTTTAAGAAGTGATGAGAAGTCATAAAATCTCATGATATGTGATGAAGAGCCATTTGGATTGGGCATCACATGGTCATGCCTTCCACTAGTTGACATGATTAATTGGTTTAGCTCATATAAGATTAAGTTCAATAGGTCCTACATATATTTTCCTATAGGGAACAAAGGATCTTTAAGAATCAAATCCATAAATATTGCTGGTAGCTTATGATGATTTCTAGGAATAAAACATACCCAGATGCAAGCTTTGTGTCCACTTATATAAAAACTATAAGAGAAAAGAAGTCAAAAATATGAAAGATTGACACGGTTTGCACTGTTTATTGACAATAGCACATGAAGTATCACATTGTCTTGTTGCTCAATTCATTGTCTAATACTCCCTCCATCTCATTTTATATGAGGTAATTTGACTCGGCACGGAGTTTGAAAGAAAGGAAGACTTTTAAAACTTGTGGTCCAAAATAAATGTTAGAAATTTGTGTGGCTGTAAATCATTTCATTAAGGGTAAAATAAACATTTTATAGTTGAAATGTTATTTAATATAGAAATGTGTCATTCTTTTTGGAACTGACTAAAAAGGAAAGTAAGTCACATAAATTGGGACAGATAGAGTATATATGATTTTACCCAGCAGACCCCAGTGTTTTTCATGACAAGATACAGAACAGACTATCTTTAGAGATCAAATTGATAAATTTACTGCAATAGCTGACAACTTGTAGGATCAACTTTCCGGATTAGAATAGCCCTTGTTATTTCAATAGATTTTGAAAAGTGTTACCAAATAGAAATGTTTATTGACTATCAACATGTCTGTGTTTGCAAATGTACATTAAAATTACGAGTCGTTCAAAACCATAGTATTGGCAGAAATTGGAGTCCATATTCAAGAAAAGTATAAATATGGAGTATATATTATTAAGAGTTAATCAATTTACATCCAGTTTCTATTGCATTCAGTTGAACTCAGTACTTCCACATTACTGCAGAATGGCAGATCTAGTACATGTTGAGTTATACTTCATTGTATGATGGACACTACCAAGTGTATTTGACTTATTTGGAACCACTAAGTGTAATTATTACCAATAGAATGAGCTGTGGGACTTTAGAAGACTAGATTCTGACTAACAAACAATGAGAGTTGAGCAAAAAATTTCTGTTGCAATGAATTGATTACATCAATGTATGGTATAGAATGAAACCATGTAAGTAAGAAGTTTCATTACTTCAATTTCTTTTGAAGTAGAAAAATGTGTCCTTAGTCTACCTAGTGTTTCTTCTAACTCTCAACTGTACACAGTGTCTATCCTGGCTTACTACAACTATACAAAATTGTATAATTAAAAAATGGGGACTGGGTTCCTTCTCACTTCCGCAATCGAGATGTGAGATCGATGAACAAATCCTCGCTGCAGGGAATAGTCACACCGCCCATTGGATGGTCGAAGCCAAATTCTTCCTCAGATTGACTAAGCAAGTTTTGAAATAAAGGTTCGCTCAAGAATGATATGGGGATCACAAATCTCTTTTTCTGCATCTCCCCAACATACACAGCAAAATGACCCTTGGGAATATCTCTAGTTGCAGAAGACTTCTTGATCATACGAAGAATAGCCATGATCTCTTAGTTTTAGTATAGATGAGAAAAAAAGAAGGATTGTAAGGTTACTCAAAAGCAGAGAAAGCTTTGATGTTTGCTGAGTGTTGTGGTGGTCGATACCTCTTTAGTTATGTTTATATAGGAAATGGCAACTCATGTTGATGTGTGTTGAATAGGAATGTGTGGGTACCAGCAGAAGACAATGGCACTGTAGTATCACATGCTCTTGCCTTCCAAGTATTGAAAACTTTGTGGTGTTGGTTAAAGAACAATAGGCCCTACCTTATTTTGAAACTTGGAAAGAGCCATTTGGATTGGACATCAGTTAAAGTCTTAAAGACAATGATATATTAGTAATCACGTGGTCCTGCCTTCCAGCTAGTTGACATGATTAATTGCTTTAGCAATAGGTCCTCACATATTTTCCTATAGGGAACAAAGGATCTCTAAGAATCAAATCCATAAATATTGCTGGTAGCTTATGAGGATATCTAGGAATTAACCATACCCCAGATGCAAACTTTGTGTCCACTTATATAAAAAGGATAAGAGATAAAAAGTTGGCTTATTAAAATTCAGAGCCAGAGGGAGTATTATATATGCAAAGAACAATCCATTGACCATTGGTTAAATAGTTGGCTCCCTAAGTACATAATCTTGTTTGCTATCTTTTACAAGTACATTGGTTTCTTCATAAACAAAGATAAATAAGTTGGGATCTTCCTCCATAAATAGCTTCCCATCTCTATATCCCAAACACAACCATTTGTACTTTTTTAGTAGCATTAAGCTCTCAAATTTCTTCAAGAAAACATACAAAAATGGCCCTCAGAAAATCAAACAAGTTATCACAAGCTGCAGTTTTGAAGCAAATTATGAATAGGTATTCAAATTTGGGTATGCTGAGATTTATATTTGCTAATGAGTCCAACCAAATGATCCCTAAGAGAAACAATCATTCAAGTAAATGAATTATAAGGAAATTCATGAGAAACCAAAAATGGCCGATAATGCGAAGGACAAAATAGACCTGATCAGTTACATCAGGTGCTTTGCTCGCCACAATCGGAATAAACTTCTTGTCAACATGTTGGAGAACTTTGGCACCCTCCGGGCAGTTTTTATCAATGGTATCAGGAACCAATGAATCGCCAACAAAATGCAAGACGCCAGAAGTGACATTGAGTATAGTATCTAGATTCTTATGATTCTCTGTTCCAGAACTGCTCTGCATCTCATACTGGAAAAGGTAAAAGTTCATCATCTTGTCCATATAGCTAAGGTACTCAACTGTAATCTATGGACGGAAGTCCCTCCATTTTGTCCCAGAATCCAAGAAACTTTGAATAAACATAAGCAAGATCCCTACAAAGCTAATGAAGGCTGTGGAAGCTTACTGTAGGAGCTATATATGGGATTAATGTGATAACCAAGAAGGCCTTGGTGTCCTGGGAGAGAGTTTGTACCCCTAAATCCATAGGTGGACTAAATCTCATCAATCTCAACTTATGAAATAGAGCGGCAATTGCAAAAAATCACTGGGACCTTGCTCACAAGTTGGATAAGCTACGGATAAGGTGGATCCACTCTTATTATATAAAATATCAGCATATCAATACTATGCCTATTCCACAACAAGCTTCCTGGTTGGTAAGGAAGATAATTTAAGCAAGGACTGTGATAGACCAGAGTCAAATAGTTCCCAAAGGAACTAGCAGTATCATCAGGCAAATGTATATCCAGCTTATTGGCCAACAACCAAGAATCGAATGGAAATGTTTTATGTTTAAAAATGACCCAAGTGGCAAAGCCATATTCACTATGTGGCTGCAGTTTCAGAATAGATTACTCACCGGCTATAAACTGTCGAGTTGGGGAATGGATGTGGGAAACACTTGTGTATTTTGCCAGGGACATGATGAAAGTAGAGATCATTTGTTTGCTGAATGTTCCTTCAGGAGAAATGTATGGAGCAGGCTATTGATGTGGCTACACGGTCGACCACACAAAGCAATGACGTGGCAGCAACACTTCACTTGGGCAATGAGGAATGCAAAAGGTAGACCGTAGAAGCAAGGATTTTTAGAGTGGTTTATGCTGAGATAATCCATGGAGTATGGGGGGGAAGAAACATGCGCATATTTCAGAAAATAACTAAAAGACCTGAAGATATTGCTAGGCACATAGCTTACACCTGTAATGTTCGAGCCAAGATAGAGGCCAAAGCCTTTCTACAAAATTGTAGGTTCTGAGACATGATGATACATCAATGCTATAGAGAAGAGTGTTCGTAGATCATAGGGGGACTAGGTTCCTAGGGAATAGAGCTAGAAGTTTTTTTTTTAGTTTTTTTTCCTTTCCTGACACAGCAAGCTGAGTTGCAATGCTGTGGTTTTGTAAAGTTTTACTTGGTGATTAATAAAATATTAAATCCCTTAATTACCAAAAAAAAGATGTAATCTGAAAGAGACTGTGTGGCCTAGGAGACTTAGAAAGAGACATCGTAATCTAAAATACTTTCATGATTAATAAGAATGCAATCTAAGATAATCTTGAAAAGTGGATGAAAGAAATGAAGCTAATTAACTAAAACATGCACTAGAAAAGTCGGCTCTTATTCAGGTCAGGAACAAATGGCAGGAACGGTTTACCTTCTTTTGACTCCCCATCGCATGTACTTGTGCAATCCCCTTGAGTTTGTAATTTTCTATTCCAGATGTTAACAAATTTCATTTTAACACTTGGCCTGAATAGAGAAATATCAGGTCGTGTGAATTACTAAAATATTTGATTGAGATAATATCAGAAAGAGACCCAACCCTCCCAAGAAATTTGATAACATTACCTTTCATCAGAGAACACACCCTTTACCACATTTTGGGTGGAAAATTGAGCACATTGATGGGATGACTGAGTGGAAGCTCCACGCAGATAGCTTCTGCAGAATGATGCAGTCTCCTTACAGCTCTAGATTCTGCACGATAGAAAAGAACATTAATTAGTTGCACATATTTTCTGTCATAGTTGATTATTAACACAAAAAAGCACTCCAGGAGAAATTACCTGGCATGAGCACATCATAAACAGTTTAAATGTTGTTATTTCCTGCTGCCTTTCTTGAAGACTCAGTTGTGGCAAAGAACTTCTTGTCTTGGTAAAATGGAGGAGCTGAATGACTTCTTCTACTCTTCTTCTTCCTTATAAGCTCATCTGTTTTACCTCGATTTCCTGCGACAATCCATTTATGTGAGTCCCCATCCACCCTAGAGGAGAACATAGCTCGTGGTAGCAACTAATTTTAAGATTCTCTTCACCAAGAGAAAGCATGTGTCAAATCATCTCAATCATAATAGAATTAAGAAGGACCTGAACTATAAACATCCCATGGATCAAGTCCCCTATACTGGCCATACCAGTTTGCCCAATTACAAGTAAAACCTCAAACCAAAAAAATGAAAGAACACCCGTAAAAAGATACTAACAAACACAAACCGTCAAACAACTTATCAGTTGAGGAATGCATGCAACCCTATAGACTACGACAACCATTCCAAGTTATGAACATAATCATTGTCAGTCCAATATTTTGCAAAATGATTACCATATCATTCTCTCCTCAGCATCTGTCCATCTCGTGAGACACCAGATCCTTCAAAAGAAAGTACCAACTTCAGGTGATGAAGTAAAATAATAAATTGAGCAGAATTTTATACATATCAAAATGCATTTAGATCGACGTCAAAGAAACTAATAGTTACCATTGTCATCCACCTTCACAATTCAGGTCCCAATGTCTATAGCAACAGATACCTGGTGGAAAATAGAAACTGGGTTAAAGTTCAACTTAAGAGTACACAACTTATAAGAATAACGAGCAAAAAAAGAGCAGTCCTACAAGGGAGTAAATCTCATGGAGAAAAGAAAGTGTTGTTATATAAGAATATTCATTTGGAAAAAAAAAACGCTTTGATACTAGAATTGAGCATCATACTAAGAGGAGAAAAAGTATATCAATTTTCATATAAAGCATATGCCCTTGTAATCAGAGGTAGCAAAAATAGAAACATAAGAATTCATTGAAGAGCCTCACTGATCAGTGCCTTTTGTGCAAATAGTCCAAGCTATTAAAATTGCATTAAAGCACGACTTGCCATATTCTCAGCAGCCCACATCTATTGATCCTCTAAACATTAACAAAATCAGAAAACATAAAATCCCCCATTCTCTTACATGACACAATTTACAACTTATAAGAAACAATTGAAATCAGAAAATCTAGACCATGTTCATTTCAAAGATGAAAATAAGTCTAGACCATGTAAAAGAAAATGACCACTGAGGGTGTATACGGAAGTCTGTCCAATCGGGTGTCTTCATTCAAAATACTACAAATCACTTCTTATAATTAAACTACTTATTTTTTAAGAATTGTGCCAGTGGGGCCTTCAACAAGAAAAACTCCACATCTTTCCATTCATTGGCTTCATAATTCAGTTATAATTAAACCAAAAACAACACCACGAGTATATTCATGACTTCATAATTCAATTATATAAAAAGGTTCACCTCCATGTGGCGATCACTTTCATCTTTGCCAGTGAAAGAAAGGCCAGCATCTTCAAATTGCTGCACCATATCAGGATCCACCTACATAGCACAGGATAAGTTTTTAGCATACATCCCTTACTAAAGAAATCACATTTTATGGTCTACATATAATTATTAAACCAGTCCACCTAGATGTGCAATAGTTACACCACAGTTCCAAATTTAAAGAAAAAAAAAGGCGGTGAACCTCATATCTATGACGGTGCCTCTCATATGCAAAGCTCCAGTTGCCAAATCTGAGAAAGATATAGTTAAGCCACTTGGTAATATCAATGGGAGAAATCCTCCAGAATGGCTTCAGAAACTTATCAACAAGCATGCCCAATGTATGCAAAAACAATCTATTAGGAATTTCAAGAAAACCAGAGAGAAAAGCCAAAGAACCATATCATTTTAAAAAATACTTGGTCAGAAATCAAAAAGTCAATAAACAAAGTGTAGAAAAGATGACTTATCACATCTCTTTATCCATCAATTTGGGGCTGCATAGGTTCACTGTTTAAACACCAGGACCTGAGAGTTATCCTGAAAGTTCGAATGCACCAACACTTGCATTCAATTTATTAAGGGAACTCAGATGAATTCCAAACCCACTAGACAACAGCAGGTCATCCTCACTGCATGTAAATGAACAAAATCTAAGGAACTAGACAGGAAATCCTTAAGTTAGGTGGTGTATTAAAGACGAACCTTTCAATATCAACAATTTTGAAGGAGGCACTGCGATGCACAAGGGAGATTCCTAGCAGACTCTTTTGGAGAATGCAAGACCCTACTTGGACTTCAAGATTATATATGCACACCAAAAGATCAATCAGATCAGAGTACAGCTTTAGAAGTAAAGTATGTAAAGCAATATTTTTTACTTGTTTGATTTTGAGAAAACTAGAAGAACTTGGAGTGCATTTGCTTCCTTCGAACAGGTAAGTTGTAAAATACATCACGAACAATTACTGCAAAAAGAAAAAACCCTAGAAATTTCCTTATTAGCCAGCAGCAGTCAACTCAATTATCAGGTAGGCTTATACAAAATCACCTGTTATACCAACATCTTGTCTATAATCATCAATTCCAAGGTACAAAACACTTGCCATCCTGTTAACAATGGCCAGATAAAACTTCAAAGACCAGGTTAGTAGTTTTATACCTATCCTAATGTCGACTACTTACTATAACTCAAAAGAGTTTTACCTTCAAAACCTTACAATATCTATTAGGCCTCCCATGAGATTTGGTAACAATTCCAACAAAGAAATATCAGAAATAGAGCTAAGAACCAACTTGTCACCACAAGATATTCTTGAAAAACACATCAAAATAGCTTCATCAGATTAACACAATCAGTATCAATGGTGCCAGCAAAGGGAGTTAAATGCTGCACATAATCTCTGCCAAATTGATTGCATATCTACCATGGAACAAAAATGAACAAGTGACATGTTTTTCTTTTTTTGTGGCGATTAGTCAAACCAATCCTCTCTTAACCTACATATGGTACAACAAAGTAGGGGCAGGTGATGACCAGCACTTTTAACAAATAGCATGTCATTGAAGTCAATAGTTTCCTATCCAGTTCATAGCAGAATGTCTACAGAATCAGACAATGTAATCAGTTGAAACAAAAATCAGTAATCCTAAAAAGTGCTACAGTTCTCAAGTTTGATCTAGTCCATGGTCTGCAGTCGAAAACTAAGAGAAACCAGATGCAGTCCTCTGGTTACATGTGCTCCCACTTCCTCCACTCATCAAAGAGATACAAGAATTTTGTCACTTCCTCAGAGCCTATTCTAGCTTTTCCTTAACCCCCTCATTCTAATTAATGATTTATAGTATTTATTAAAACTGTTGGAGCATTAGTGTAGGTGTTAAATGTTCAAATGAAGTTACTTCCTCTAAGATCCAAGATTAATATATTTCTCTTTTTTTATTACTCCAAAGAATAGAAAAGATACTAACTCAGTAACTCTAACCTGAAGGAGGGAAGTTGATATCTTTTGACAGAAAGGATACATAAAAAAGTATACTCATTCAAACTACTACAAATCAAAGTTAGGCTACAATTTTCCATTTTTTAGAAACAATCAAAAGTCAAAAAGTCTACAATTGAGTGTCTTCATTCAAAATACTACAAATCACAACTTACTTATAATTAAACAAATTAATTTTTTTATATAGTTGCGCAGTGGGTCCTTCAAGAACAACTCCACGTTCTTTTTTTCAATTCCAGTTTCTCAGTTAAAAAAATTCTTGAACATCCTTAACATACACTGACAGGATGAAAACATAACTTGCTTTTTTTAAAAAAAAAAATTTGAAAAAAACAACTTGTTGAAATTTTCTTAAAAGTTCAACATGCAAAATCGATTTCTTGAATTCCAACATCCAAAATCGAGTTCTTTGGAAGAATATCAAGATAATGAGAAGAGTACCAATAGATAGATCAATTGATTTAGGGTTTAGGGTTTTGATCGGACATCATCACTTGAACCATCAAGAACATCAACAAGTTCAATGAACTTTTCTTAAAAATTAAACGCATAATCGAATTCTTGAATTTTCCTCCTTTTTAATGGAAGAATTCCCATGAATCGTGATAGATTTTCCGATAGCCGGTAGCTTAAAAGTTCCGACTCTTTTTCAATAGGCGGTCGGAGGGGTGAGTTCTTAAATGCGCACTAGGTACTCTATTTTATAGTTATAGAACCAGTTAATACACGCGGCTGAAAAATAGAACGCGGAAAAATAACTACTTAATACAATTATTTTTTTATGTTTTTTTAATAAGAAAAAATTATTCATTGAATGTGAAATTTGTTATTATCATCATATAAAACTTATGTAGTGGTTTTGAATGGTTATCCCATAACAAAATATTGGACCAAAAAAAGGTCTGTCCTTGTTAACTTTGAAATTCAATACGATTAGTAATAAATAATTTCACCCACATTATTTTTGAATTTTTTTTTTCCTACAGAATTCTCTCAAAACAAACCCTAACATAAATACATTTCATAAAAACAAATCCAAAGACCCACATTCGTTTCCCAACCCCAAAACAAATTGAAACATAAATCCCAACAAAATATCTCACCTTAAATTTCTCAGAGGTATTTGAAGGCTTCCAAGTCAAGTCATATAACGATTTTGGATAATTTAGGTTCAACAAAAATAGGGATATATCTGAGATCTACTTTGCTTCTCAATGTTAGAAGAACTATCAAAACACATAGCTATGTTGTTAAGTAGTCTATGTATTGGAGAGAAAAATGAGAGACATACCAAATATTAGCCTTAAGTCAAGTCAAGGAGAATCCATAATGTTGAGAGTGTGAAACACGGCTAATGATAATCACAAAATTTAAATGTTGAATAATACTTCTACTTAACAGTTATGGTTATCATTTCAAAAACAGAAACGAACTCTAATTAAAATTATATACTTATATTATTTAACTTGTGCAAAATTTTAATAGAAAGTTATATACTAAATTAATATTTTATACATATTAAATTAAATAGATTTAAAAAAAAATTAAATATAAGAAAAGTTGTATATTAGAACTGTAGAAGAAAAGTGTCCACGAGAAGACTTTAGTATTCAAGATAACGTAGACTTAGTGCTTCAGAAGCTCCGATTCCGCTGCTATAAAGAAATGAAATCTCTCAAACAGTTGGCGATCTGAACAGATTTCATTTGCTAAAAAATGTGGTGTATGTCTTTTTGACATCAGCTACAAAAAAATACATTCAACAATTGGGACTAGGACAAATAGCCCCCTATTTCTACTTTTCAGTGATGTGTATTGAATAATGAGTCTCTCCTAACTAGAACTAGAAAGGTTACTTCTTTACAAAATTGTGAAAGGAAAAGCCTCAGAACTTACTCAAGCGAGAAGTAAGATTAATGAACACATCCTCACTACAAGGAATTGTGACACCGCTCATTGGATGATCAAAGCCAAATTCTTCCTCAGCTTGACTAAGCAACTCTTGAAATAAAGGTTGGCTCAAGAATGATCACAAATCTCTTCTTTTGCTTCTCCCCAACATAAACAGCAAAATGGCCTTTCGGAACGTCTCCAGCTGTAGAAGTTATCTTGATCATACGGATTGCCATGGTTGTGTTGTTCAATATAGATGAAGAAATAAGGATCGGAAGAATTAGTAAGGAAGAGAAAGGTTTGTGTGATTTCAAGTTTTGGTGAGAGCTGTTATGTGGTATGTGTTTATATCAAGTTATAGAATTCTACTGATGTGCATTGAATAGACATTATGTGGGCACCAGCTAAAGACAGTAGCACCTGAAGTATAACATGGTTCTGCCTTCCAACTCCTTGTCATACTATTTATGCAAACTCTCATGTGTCCACTTATATAAAAACTAGAAGAAAAAACAAATCAATCATATGTAAGATTTAACTGGTGGAGAGGCATTTGTTGTACTGCTGATTGACAATAGCACATGGTTTTGCTACTCAACTCATTGTCATTGCTCTTGAATATCAGCAGTCCCTACACCCTAGTGTTTTTCAGGACAAGATAGAGAATAGAAGATTTTTTTAAATCAATTTGATAACTTTGAGTCATTGTCAACACAGGTTCTTTTGAGATAATAACAGGTAATTCCCATTAGTAACAAAATTTACTGCAATCTTACCATTATGTAGGATCAACTCCGTATTCTATCACATTTAGTTGCACTCAGTACTGACACTATACATCTTGAGTTATACCTCACCGCCGCTACCAAGTGCAGCTAGCTTCATTTGAAACCATTAAGTGTAATTATCACTTTTACCAATTGAATGAGTTATGCCAATTTAGGGGACCAGATTCTAGTTCATTCTGATTAACAAATGATGAGAGTTGAGCAAAAAAATTCTATTGCAATGAATTGATTACATCAATGTATGGAAGTAAAAAGTTTCATTACTTCAATTTCTTTTGAAGTAGAAAAATGTGTCCCTTAGTCTACCTAGTGTTTCTTCTAACTCTCAACTGTACACAGTGGAGTTCCTGGCTTACTACAACTATACAAAATTGTGTAACGAAAAAATGGGGACTAGTTTCCTTCTCACTTCCTCAATCGAGATGTGAGATCGATGAACAAATCCTCACTGCAGGGAATAGTCACACCACCCATTGGATGGTCGAAGCCAAATTCTTCCTCAGCTTGACTAAGCAAGTCTTGAAATAAAGGTTCGCTCAAGAATGATATGGGGATCACAAATCTCTTTTTCTGCATCTCCCCAACATACACAGCAAAATGGCCCTTGGGAATATCTCTGGTTGCGGAAGACTTCTTGATCATACGAAGAATAGCCATGATGATTTAGTTTTGGTATAGATAAGAAAGGTAAAAGAATTACAAAGGAACTCAAAAGCAGAAAAAGTTTTGATGTTTGCTGAGAGCTGTGGTGGTAGATATCTCTTTGGATATGTTTATATAGGCAATGGCAACTCATACTGATGTGGTGTTGAATAAGAACTTGTGGGCACCAGCAGAAGACAATGTCACTGAAGTATCACATGCTCTTGCCTTCCATGTATTGAAAGCTTTGTGGTATTAGTTAAAGAACAATAGGCCCTACCTTATTTTGAAATTTGGATAGAAGCATTATTCATTATAGAATTTTTGAGAAGCTATGACCTGGAACATGGACCACTAAGATGAAAAACATAACCATATTGGGAAACATAAAATGTCATCAATTAATATCCCAAAAAAACAAGTAACATGAGAGAGGTCAAACTCTTCCTATCTTTGTTCAGACTTGAAAGGCTTTAGTTATCAAGGATAACAGGCCCTACCTTTTCTTTGAACTTAGAGCAAAGTATCCCTCACAATTAAATAGCTAAACAAGTATTGTCTAGGTACACATCAAATTTTATATCTTTTGACATGTTTTTGTTGTAAGCATTATCCCTGAGAAAACAAAAAAAGTTTATATGGCCATAAGCTTCCAATTCCAAGTGTTTCCTAGCCTAGGTTTATAACTTTTCATTAATCATTATGGCCCTAATTGGTTGAAAAGAATTTATATATGGAGGCTTAGGAAGTGGTACTAAGATCTTAAAGTTGTTGTTGAGATATCTCAACATCACACTGTCACTTACCATTCTACTTGTCATTAAAATAAATATACAAAGCAGAAGACCATCAATAGGCGCCTGATGGATATCATATGGTTTTACCTTCTATGTCCTTTTGGACACTGCTTATAATTTGTGATCTGTTTGGTGGATAATATAGTCCTACTTTCATGACCATACATAAAAAAAAATGAAAAACCAAGTTGAGAAGAGGAAAGAGGATAAAGGTGAATTTTTGCGTCCTGAATGGAAAAGACCACAAAAAGAGGCCAACCTGATTGCTTGGCGTAATTGGTCTACATTGTAGGCTCTACGACTATTTGAAGTAAGTAAAAAACATAACACATTTGGATTCAATAACTTGCAAACAAACATTATTAGTTACTTCTATATAGGCACTCTCTTAAAGAACCATATAGTAAATACAGTTGTGCTAATCGATGCTTTTAGAAATAGTTTGGCATAGATAAATGCAATGTTTTCTTCTCATATTATAAGTCATTTAATCAGATGATTGGACCAACTTTGCAGATCAGAATTGTCCCGAGTTTTTCAACTGATCGAGAGAAATTCTAATAAGTCATCAAACCAGTATTGATTTTTCAAAAGAGAAGAAAACGAAATGTCTAATGAAGTGTGAAGTTGTGAACTATGAATGTCACTTCTTCGATATTTTGAAATTTCTGCTGCTGATACAAAGTTCATTTTTTCTGTTTGCGCCAAATATATTTCAGTGTTCAGGATAAGGTCACAGATAAGTTTTCTTTAGAGTTAATTAACATAGACTTCAGCACTTTATAAGCTCCAATTCCCATGTTATGGAAAGAACAGTCCATGTAAAGAAATTTGTTAAACAGAAATACTAATTTACCAAATTGGATAATGAATGAGTCTGAACTGATTTCATTTGCTAAACTACTGAAAATTGTATTCAAAATTGGGATCGATAGATCCAGCTGACAGTGGTGAGAAGTAACAATGTGTGTTTCCTAATTCCTCTTATGTACAAACTAAAAATCCTATTCTTTACAAAACTGTGAAAATAAAAGCCTCAGATCCTATTCAAGCGAGAAGTAAGATCAATGAACACATCTTCACTGCAGGGTATTGTTACACCACCCATTGGATGATTGAAGCCAAATTCTTCCTCAGCTTGACAAAGCAAGTCTTGAAATAAAGGTTGGCTCAAGAATGAAATGGGGATTACAAATCTCTTCTTCTGCTTTTCCCCAACATAAACAGCAAAGTGGCCTTTAGGAACATCTCCGGTTGTAGAGGACTTCTTGATTATACGAGGCATACGGATAGCCATGGTCTTTTAGTTCAATATAGATGAGGAAATAAGGAAAGGAAGAATTAGTAAGGACTCTGAAAGCAGAGAAAAGCTTTGTATGATTTGAAGTTGTGGTGAGAGCTGTTATGGTAAACCCTTCTTTATATGTGTTTATATAGGCCAATGACAAGTTGTCAAACCCCACTGATGTCTGAATAGCCATTTTGTGTACACCAGCTAAAGACAGTAGCACCTGAAGTATCACATGGTTTTGCCTTCCAACTCTTTGTCATACTATTAATACATTGAAA